GACTAGAAAGAACTGTATAATATACAGTATATATGGCTGTTTCATTGATCAGCAGTTTAACGGAAGTGCATATGTGTTGAGGTCAGAATTATATGCCCTTTGGTAAGGATATGTGCAAAGGATGCCATTATAAATTCTTTCATTCATTAAAAAAAAATAAATAAATAAATAATAATAATAAATAAATAAAAAAAAATCACTAAAATCTAACTTTTCATTGGGGTAAAACTACTGAAAGGTGTGTGTGGAAATTACATTATGAAATGTTTTTCCTCCAATACATGTAGGTCAATTATTAGCACCCCTTGAAATTTTATGACTGTATGTATAAACTATATTCCCATATTGTACATGTAAATGTCCAGCTTCCGTTTTCACAGGAGTATAAATATGAGGTTACACAAAGGCCAAATTCCCTTAATTATCCATCACAATGAGTAAAACTGAAGAATAGAGTTCGGATGAGCTACACAAGAATGTTGAACTTTACAAAATAGAAAGTGGCTGTGAGAAAATAGCTAAAGCATTAAAAAATTCCAATTTCCACCATCAGGGCAATAATTAAGACGATCCAATCAACTGCAGATCTGCCTGGAAGAGGAAATGTGCCTATATCATCCTAATGCACGGTGAGGTGTAAAGTTTGAATTGACAAAGACTCTACAAGGATCACATCTGGAAAATTGCAGGAATTAGTTGAGTCTTGGTGTCAGAAAGCCTCAAAAAATATATGTAACAGCACCAACATCAGCACAAGTTGCTTGGGAGGGTTTCAAGGAAAAAAAATCTACTCTCCAGTATATTAAGTTGCCAGATGCTAATGGAACTTCAAACGGGACCTGGAACTGTTTTAACTCCATTTTTGATCAAATAAACACAGCCCTGATGAGCATAAGGGATTAATTTAAAAAACATTGTACTGACTTCAAACTTTTGAATGGTGAAACTATAGCTTATACCTGCTGGGTGAGCATTGGTTTGAATGAGCATCTGTTTGGGTTGAACTTGGTTCTGTGCAGGTAAGCCCGTCTGAGCTGATGTCAAAGACTGTTTGACGATTACTCCTTTAGGTTGCTGGATCACCTGACAAGGTAAAAACAAAATCAATACGAAGACAGCATTTCTAAATAAATACAGCAAAGATGCAAGAATTATGCATATGAAAATATTCAAAAGGTATGCTGGGTTTAGTCCACCCCGAGGACATTGTAGAAACCATTTTAGACAGGAGCACTTTCTGCAGACCCTCAGAGCACTTTCTGATTCTGAAGTAATCAAAACCTCTAAAGTCTATTCAGGTATATGGGAAATGAGCTTCTGTATTTCAGTGGAAATCCATCAAGACGTCCAATAAAATGGTGATATTAGATTACAGAAAATCAAATCATGACATTATTTGAATATGATAACATGACATTCCTGGTAAGAAATGGGGTAAGACTCATGCATCTTTGTCTCTAGTGTAAAACTAATTTGGCTCTGCTTGGGCTTGTGGGATACTGGTGGTTTTAAGTGAATTAGCCTGTACACCGTGGGCGGTGGTGAGTTAACCAGGAAATGAAGACAAAGTGAAGAGAGGCTGTCATAAAAATGAACCAGTGTGCTGGGAAGGAGGCAGTGTGAAATTAGAGCGTTTCACTCTCTCTCACACACACACACACACAGTCTACTATTACATAAAACATCAAAACAGTGTATTCAGGATCCCCAAACACACATACCTGAATTCCAGACACCATATTGTATTCTAACTATTGATAGAGAACTCATACCTGCAGATTAACATTAAAACAATGCACATCCAGAGTTGTTTCCATGGTGAAAACACCACCACTGAATGATCATTTGTTTTCCTTATTATCAAATCACTCTTCCGTTGTTTCATATAGGCAAACCCCTGAAATCATCATGATTAATTACATTGCTAAAAATGGGACTAAAAATGGGCCGTGGTTTACCAGCTGAGCCATTCTGGTTGGCTGGTTGGGCTTGAGGGAGGAGCTGACGGACACAGTGGACTTCTGGTTTGCGGCCTTGGTTGGTGCTGAATCTGAGGGCTTGACTTGGTCGCACTGCTGAATGAAGAGCTGCGAGTTTGGGGTGAGCTGACGGACAGCTGGCAGGCTCCTCTGAAAGAATTAATACATCAGCATCTCTGGTTGTATGTCTCTAATTTAGCTCATACCAAAGAGGCCGTGTCTCATTCATACATGAGCTATGAAGGTCTGATAATAGATTTCATCTTAAAATCAGGTCAAAAATGAGGTCAGCACCCTCATATACACCCATATGACTTTGTTGAAGTTGCTGGTAATATCTAAATGAGTTTTAACTGCATTCACCTTCAGGAAAGGCACTAGATATGGTTGAGGGGATGATTTGAGCTCCATATAGAGTTTTTCAGTAAACTCCTCTGCCTCTAGTTTCCCATCCTACATGTAGAGAAGAAAACAAAAGCCCTTTTTAAAACATAATGTATTCTAAAATATTGATTTTAAAAGCAGCAAGTGACATCATACCAGCAGGCCTTTGACAAGAGCTTTGACGTTCTGAGCCATGTTGGCCGAGCGAGTGCCGCTCGATGCTAGCTTCATAAGAGTGACCAGAAAGTTTTTACACTTCTTCACATTCTCCAAGGTCTCCTGATGATAAAGAAAATTAAACATGATCAGTTTTGTGATGCACAGTGAAAATATAAAAAAAAACATTGATATCAGCTAATACTGGATATTTAATTTTAAATATCAAAATGTACGTTTAGATCACCTAACCTCAGTTAATTTTTAAAAACTAATTTAAAATATTTGATTATCCTTTCCTTTTTGTTAATCACCTTTTTGTCATATCAAATGTGTTACGTCAGGCTTTTGAGGAATCTTTATTTAATCTTCTCTCAATCACCATAGTAGTACATTGCATTATATGTTCTTCTGCCCCATGCTTTAAACTACAGAGCTTTTGATAACAAAACTGAGCATTTAATTATCTAATATCAAAGGCATATTAATGGGAGATATAGAGTGACAACTGTTATTTATAAGCTTTTTCTGCAAGAAATATGCTATATTGTTATAAAAATATCACGAATTTACAAGCAATCAGAATTTTAGCGTACCTTTTGTGTATATAAAATTCAGAAAGCTCCATATTCTCTTAGATCATACTATATAAACCATAAACGCCTGATGTACCACATCATAAGACATTTTTTTAGTTTTATAATATTTTGTATAAATTTGTAAAAAAAAAAAAATCTTATATTTTATTATATGTCAGGCTTTCCAGGATTAAAATCTGTAAACACATAACTTGTAACATGAACTTACAGCTGTAACAGTGACTGGGGTTGCTGATGTGTTTGTGCTGGATCTGGCTGGTACATTAGGAGACACCATACGTGGGGCATTACCCTGGGTGGAGAGAGCACCTTTGCCCACAGACTGCAGAGAAAATGAAGCATAGACAAGATTAGGTTGATGAATGCACACTGAATGACCTACATTTCTATTTAAATCACTGAGGGAAAGCTAACAATGCATTTCAGTCAACATCTTGCCCTGAAGTCAGAGTATGAATCATTATTTTTGTTTTGTTGTTTGGATCAATAATTGATGCAGCCAAAGTGAGTAATACCTTTACAGCCGAAGTATTAATTATGGTAGTTGCAGTGACAGAATTAGTCCTCTGGTTAAAGGTCCCCGGTGTGCTGCTGTTTGGAGTAATTTGACTGGCTTTGATAACAGGCCCCATGGTAGAGCTGGGCTTTCTGATGGCTGTCCCTATAACACCGGCTGGTTTAATGATGGTAGCTCCTGTTGTACATGATGGTGTGAAAATAGCAGTCCCTGTAGCGGTGGGTGGTTTCTGAACGGCAGTCCCTGTAGTGGGGTTAAGTTTAATATTGGTAGTAGCTGATGCACTGGAAGGTGGGAAAGAAACTCTGATGATTGGTGTAGTGGTTACAGTTGTCTGTAAAAAACAAAAAGATATATGAAATAAAGTGGTGCATTTCCATAATAAATCAAATACTTGTAAGAGATATCTTATAGAATGGCTTTTTAAGCTTTTGGTAATGTCAGTGACTGCCAAATATGGTTAACTTCCTTTGTGAGAGAAGGCTGCTTCATGTTTTCATATGCATGCAGATGCATTTATTTTGTGACAAATAGTAAGCATTAAAGACTAAGTTTTTCCAACATAATTAGCTCTTTTCATAATTAGCCTATTTTCCCCACAAGATTGAAAAAAAATATATGGCTATATTTCTCACAATTCTAACTTTTTTCTCTGTATTCTGACTTCTAATTGTTCATAAATCGTTTTGCCACACATGGAAAAATTAAAAAGGTAATTGCTACTTCTCTCACAATTCTGACTTTTCTTCTCACATTTCTAATTTTATACCACACACATTGTGACCTTATTTCTTGCAATTCTGAGTCTGAATAATCAAAGTCTGAATTGTGAGATAAAGGGTTTTAATTTATTTATTTTTATACTGTGGCAGAAACCATAATAAATGTAAACGTTATCTAAAACAATATTTATTTTGCATTAAGTATGTATTTTTTACACAATTAAAATACATTCTATAATTAATATATAATTGTATTAATATTAAATAAATATTTTCAGACAGATGCTAATATTTCAAATATGAATGAATATATAACATTTCAAATGATTTAGTATGACGCTTTTCATGATCAAAATCATATAAATCTAATCATACGTAAAATGTGAAGAAAAGAAAAAAGATTAAAAAAAATTAAAATCTGAAAACTGCATAACTGCATAAAACAAGAAAATTGTCCACTGACCAAATTGTGTCCCTCTGGTGAGACTGGGAGCTCAAAGACCATAGTCTGAATATCATATGTTTATCTCACTGGATCTTTGTTTTTATTCCCAGCATTAAAAATAAGTGACCAAAATAGCACACCTGTGAGGATGGGGGTCTAACTATAGCAGAGGCATTGGCACTTGCTGGTTTTGGCAGCATTCCCTGAGCCTGAGCCTGGGCCAGAGCCTGCTGAGATACCAACATCAACTGCCCGCTGTCACTGCGGATTAACACCATTCCTTCAGAGGCAGGGGAGAGAGAGTAAGACATCGCCGAGACTGATAAGTAGGCTTGATGCGTAAGTACAGTAATACAGTTAGAATACACTAACAGACCAAGAAATGAAACCGTGGATCCTGAATCCACACGTAAACTCACCTTGTGGGACCTGGAAGTTGGCAGGCAGCTGCAGTGGCACAGTCTGAGGGGTGCGTGTCATTGGTACACTTTGTGATGGGGTGGAAATCCTTGGCAATGTCACGACTGCCCCTTTGGCTGTGGTCAGTGTGGTGACCCTGGGCTGGCTAATGGCCACGGAGCTAACAGAGACCCTTCCAGGCTGAGGAGCCAGTGCCAAACTGGTGGCCCCTGGTCCCTGAACATTAGACGTCACCACCCTGGCCCCTATAACCACTGGTGTGGTGGATCTGATCTGTGCAGGGCCTGCTATGACCTTTGGAGCAGCTTCAGATGAGGCTGAGCTCATAACTGTTACAGGCCGCAGACTAGCAGAGTTGGATAAATCAGTCTCTGTCTTTGGTTTTGGCCGTTCTCCTTCCCCATTAGGAGAAGCTAAATCTGGTTTGCTGTTTTCAGAGGTGTTAGCATTAGCGTTTGAGTCTGACGCCTCTTTTTTCTTGTCTAATGTGGTTTGTGAAGTTTCCAAAGACTCCTCAATGTAGCTTTTTTGCGCGTCGTTGTTGTTTTCTTCGTTTTTTGTTTGCGCGCGAGTCTGATCATTGTCTAATTGGTCTGAACCCGATGTTTCCGACATTATTTAGTCTACTTTGACGATGTATTAAACACAGGTTGAATAATTTGATATAGAGAGAATAAACCTGAAACGTTTTTCAATCTATATGGTCGAATAATCAAATTTATATGTACAAATGCGCGGGCGACGCGACGAATATACAACATTCGCCATTTTAACAGTTGGAGGTGGAGTTTTTCATTCATTCGAAGGATTCGAATCATTTGAATTCATCAGAACTATTCATGACTCGTCGGTTCGTTCATCGACTCTTTCTGTACGCTACACAGTTACGCCAGCAGGTGGCGACAAGTGAATGTTGTGTGTGTGTTGTGTGTGTGTGTGTGTGTGTGAGTGAATCATTCAACCGATTCGCTAAAAGCACCGAGCCGTTCATGACGGGAAACAAGCGTTTATGAGTGAGATGCTTCGTTCAGTGCCTTTCCGGATCTCGTTTAGATTCAAAACTCTTAATCGACTCGTTCAGTCAAGGGCGTATTGATTCAATAGATCCAACCAATAAAATGCTAACTTGAATGCCATTTGGTTTTAGGTTTTGATCAATGAGCGCGCGGGAGTTAAGTTGATTCAAAACATCAGTATCAAGAGGACATCTAGCTTGTCTAAGTTGTTTAATACCCGAGCCTCTGTCACCGTTGCATTCATTTATTAATGCAAGTTAATTTAATGACAGTATTGTATTGTATTGCTTAAATAAAGTCTAAAGACAATCCCTTGAAACTTGTGCGTTATGTTGAAGGCATATTTTCCATGTTAATAAACAAGTCTTGGTGATTTTTCAAAACTTTTATTAACAATGTCACATTACATTCCTCTCAAACTTTAATCTCATGGATTATAAACCAGTTTTAAGTGTAGCCAGACACTGTAAATTTATGATAAAAAACAACTTTTTTGTGTAGTATTTAAAAGTAAATATACTAGAAGTTACAACATAAATTCGTCAGATTGGCTCGACAGTTTTGTATTTGAACTTGTCTGTTAAAATGAAGAACAGTTGGGGAAATATACTTTTTAATGAAATCTTTCAGATCATTCAATTTCATGACTGCGTTTGACAAAAGGAGGGTTCGTCTAGTCATACGATCCCTCAGAAACCCACAGCTGTGATTTATCCTTTATATGTGTGTGTATTTTTCTAATTAGAGCTGCTATTCCTCTCTGGTGTGATATGCTATTTATGAGAGAAACACTTGAAGATTAGCAACATAATTATTCATCAAACAGCTTATTAAATAAGTATGGCAGCTGAAATTCTTTACAGGATGTCATATATAAAGTGTAACATTAGTTTAGCCTCTTCCACTCCTAGCTGGCATGGTGAAGACAAATCCAGCAAAAGTGCAGTCTGGCAGTCTTGAAGTTTTAATACAAACCTTCACACAGAGAATCAAATGGAGACCACTCAGTATAGTCAGAGACGTTCAGAAAAAGTTCCCGTTTGAATTTCAACATTATTTTATCTTATTTGAAACGATTTATTTAGGGACAGTACCAATGAAAAAATGTCTCAGAGGATTACAACATAAATCAAAACATCCCTTATATTCAGTTAAAAATACCATATCCAGTTTATTGTTTGTGAGAGTGGGCAGCTAATCCAGCAGTTCCTGTTTGATTCGAATGACGGAGGTCGTGACCCCACGGTGACTTCGTTTGATCTCTCTCCTCAGAACGTACTCACTGAACTGGGTTGAGTCCACACCACCTCCACAAGAAGCAGCAATCTCAAAACCTCTTTGCTGCAGTCGCTCCAGAACCTGACGAACACAAACATTCCCAAACACACACAAAATTATTATCCTTTCATATTCTACCAACAGTAAACCATTAATATACATAGTGTTCAAATGTTTGGGGTCAGTAAGGTTTTGAAGTCTCTTATATTCACCAAGGCTGCATTTGATTAAATTATTACTTATTAATTTATTTATTATTAAATTATTTTAAAATGTAATTTATTTCTGTGATGGCAAAGCTGGATTTTCAGCAGCCATTATTCCAGTCTTCAGTGTCACATGATCCTTCAGAGATTATTCTAATAACCTGGGGTTTGGTGCTCAAATCATGTTAAAAATAGTCAGTTGTGCTGCTTAGTTTTGATCATTTTAATGCATCCTTGCTGAATAGTTTGTGTTGACAAATGTGTTTATACAGCTTGAGTTTCAAATGCAAAAAAAATACAGTATGCATGGATGTACATACTTGCTAAGGATGTGGAGCTTGAAGACTGACATGGAACAGAATAAATTGTTGAATAAAGCTGGTATTTTTGTTTTCTTTGCGCACAAAAAGTATTCTCGTAGCTTCATAACATTACAGTTGAATAACTGATGTCACATGGACTATTTTAACGATGTCCTTATACCTTTCTGGGCCTTAAACGTGTCAGTTGCGCTGCTATCTATGGGAGGGTCAGAGAGCTCTCGGATTTCATCAAAAAATATCTTAATTTGTGTTCCGAAGATTAACAAAGATCTTACGGGTTTGGAATGACGTGAGGCTGGGTAATTAATAACAGAATTTTAATTTTTGGGTGAACTATCCCTTTAAAGAAGTACTATAAACAATCACTGTTTGCGAAGACTCTTCAAATTTCTGCTTTTGTGTCCCACAGAGAGAAAAAAAGCAGCATATGGATTTAGAACGACATGAGTAAATTGTGACAATTTCATGTTTGTGTGAACTATCCCTTTAATTGAACACCCCTGGCACAAAATCACTGTCGTCTTCAGTTAGAAAAACAACACAGCGAAAGTGTTATAAACCATCTGTCCAGCAGCTCTCTCAACTGAACAAAATGAGATACTTAAACCACTTGCTTATTCTTGTCTTTCTTTCTGTCTGTTTCTCCCTCTCACTCTCTCTCTCTCTCTCTCTCGCTGTTTCTTCCAGTCCTGCAGATATTCACTCCACAGAACTGTGAGATCACATTCCATTAGTGTGCCTTAAGGATGTCCCTTCCTCTTTTGCTCTCCAGCACTGCGTCACTAAAATTCCCATCACTCCCTCCCTCCATCTACAGTTTTCCACTATCTTTCTCTTTCTTGGTCTTTTTTTTCCCCCTCCAACCTCTCATTTACAGGCCAAAGTTTCTGTCTGTCTGCACTGTGTGACTTTCCATCATGCTTTTGTCCTTCAACCCTCTTTTTCTCTCATTTTTCTTTCCTGTCTTCTGCCTCTACTTTTCTCAATCTCCTGCTTCCATTAGTGTGACGGCAAGTGCCAGGGGCCAAAAGATTTAATAAGCAAACAGGATTAGACAGCCTCTAGACACACACATACACATACACACACACAGTATGAAAAGGTTACAGAGCACAGTATAGGAAAAATTGAGCTCATATTGTACATTCATTCCTGACATGAATCATGGGCCATTGTTTGTCGTTTCTAATGCAAAATCAGCTGATGTTTCTGGATGAAGTTGTTTTAAAAGACTTGCAGATTTCATTTGAAGTGGTTACATGTGGTGTAACCATCAAGTAAAAAAAATATATATTTTCCTTACACTGTAGATACATGCAAGTATACACTTCTTGATCATTATTTAAAAGTATAATAAAAAGTATAAATAAAAAACTAAAATTTAAATTTATTCAGCTTATAATGATTATATATCATTAAAGTTTTGTAAAGTGAATAAGCTGAATTAAAAAAAAATTCCCTAAGAAAAAAATAAATGTTGTGTAAAAAACTGAAATAGTATTTTCTTGCAAAACATACTCTAATAATCTTTATTTACGACTTTGAAAAATATTCAAAATAAAAATCAAATTTTTTTAGTATACTTAAGTTTTTCTTTTCAAGATTTTCATTCTTTAAATGAGAATCTGTACTTCATCATGATATCAGGACAGCTGTACCACATTTTTGTGTGACATTTTTGACTTTGCATGGCTCGTGAATTCACACAAATCAGTAAAAAAGTAGTCAATACTTAACATTTTTTTATTTATTATACAAATAAATAAATAATTAGCATTGGCTGCCGAGTGAGTGGTGTTTAAGGTGTCACCCACCTGTACAGAGTTGAGGTGGCAGTATCCGTTTAGAGGAAAGCGTATGACGTGAGTGGAATCATGGTTCCAGCCTGCATTGACAGAGTTGCACATGACGTCTCCTATCTCTGGGAAGATGTCCTCGATGAGGGCTTTATCGCCACTGAGCGTTATCCTCTCGCCCAGCTCGGGGGCCACGCGCACTACCACACACTCACACATGCGTGATGTGCACCTAGAGTCCTGCTCAGAACGCCAGCGCTCCAGCTCGGCCTGCAGAGGCTGCAGCTGGAAATATCGTGCCTCCTCGTACAGCAGAGAGTAGTCCTACACACAAAGATACACAGATATATGGCACATCTGATACTTAAGGAATGATTCACCTAGAAATGAAAATTCAGTCTTTGTTTATGGCTGTTACGGTACTTTTATTTTGTTTTTGGACAGCTCCTGGTCTCTATGAACTGTTGTATGGCAAGAGATGTCTATTGATTCTTCAAATTATTTTACTTCTGTGTTTCAATGATGGTTATTGACAGAATGTTAATGTTGTGGTGAACTATTCCTTTATTCTTTTTAAAATCTGACTATAACATTGATAATAATGCAGTGTAAGATTTAAATACCTTAAAGTCATCTGGGATGAGCAGTTTTGAGGTCCTGAGGAAGTTTAATATGTAGCGGAACATGTGTCCATCCCGATCTATAAAATAATGCTGCTTCAGGCTATCCAATACAATGGGCTCCGTGCCATCAAACAAACGACCAATCCTGTGAGAGGAACAGACAGATATTAAAATATTTAGATGTAATCAAACAACAATGATTTGCTTTCTTATGAAAGGTTTTTCTCACACACATTCACTGGTATTCCTATCATTATGGGGACACTTTAATGGTTTTTACACTGTACAAACTGTATTTTCTATCCCCTTACCCTAAACCTACCCCTCACATAAAACTTTCTGCCTTTTTAGATTTTCAAAAAAACAACAACAACTACAGTACATTCTCTATGATTTCTAAGCTTCTTTCCTCATAGGGACCAAAAATGTCCCCAAAAGGTAAAAATTTACTGGTATTACTATCCTTGTTGGTCCCCATAGTGCAGGGAATACCAGGTACACACACACACACACACACACACACACAATTAATTACACATTCTAACATACAATCAGTCTGACA